CGTTGATAATCCGTTTCTTCTGGGTGACTCCAAGTTGGCAGTGATGGGTGGCTGGGTGGATGAAGGACTATGATGTGTTGATTGTCGCCAGAAGTATTGGGTGATTCGAAATCAAGTACGAACACTCCATTCTCATTCTTCGCCTTTCCGAAAAGGTTCCCGTTGTACATTAAGTGAAACTCGTTCTCGGATGACTGCAGGTCGATGCCACACTCGGCTAAGCGGCCGACAGGAGGTTGAACTGAAGCTCCGGCATGACCAGGACGTCGCTGATGTGGACGCAATACCCGGTGTCGTTTGACTCCAACTGGATCTGCCCTCGACTTCTCGCATAGATTGTCTGGTTGTTGGCGACAGTGATTTCCACCTCATTGAAGAGTTCTTCACTGTTGAGGATGACGACACTCGACGACACCATGTGCTGACCACAGCAACTGTTCAGGTACCATTTGTTGACATCTTTCTTGGCTTTGGCGAGATTTGCGAGTTTCGAAGTTAAGTGATGATCCATGTCGTGATCATTCTCATAGTCATAACCTTCGTCGTTGTATGCGATGCGTGCAGGTGGCGATTCTTGAATCCACGGTCGTGCTTGCCAATCGTACTGCATGCGGCCGACTGTCAGCTCGTCGTAAGTGGGGTCGTTCTCCTCTTCTTCTTCGACCGAACCTTCGGGTCTTTCTGGAGGTGGGTCTGCGAACATGTCTTCCCAGCTGCGGAAGAACCGGTAGTGACGATTTGGTCGCGGTGGTCCATGTTGCACCATGCAGGTTAACAACGTGCTCTTTCCTTTGTCGTTTGCAGAGATGTGAGCGCTAGCCTGAGAGGTGCTGGCGACGGCAGGTGGAGAGATGGTCTGATTGCGCACTTGGGCTCCTGTGGGCTGCTGGTGAGCTCCTCCTCTTTGTTGTTTTTGACCATGATTGTTGTTGTTGCCATTCAGCTTTTAGCATTCCTGGATTGTGTGTCCAGTCTTCTTGCAGTACTTGCAGAAGAGCCGCTTTTTGTCAGGTGGCGCTTGTGCGTAGAACGCAATCTTCTCTTTCTTGTTGCCTCTCTCGTTATACATGTCAATCTCCTTCTTCTCGGCGAGGAGCGAGGCGCAGAGCAAAGTTTTGCTGAGCGTTCCTTGAGTGCGAAGGATCAACCTGCAGTGGCGCCATTCCGGACTTAATCCGGCAAGGATGATGGTGACGAACATGTCGTCAGGGAAGTTGCCGCCGCTTTTCTTGAATTGGTCTCGCAGGTTCCTGCAGTGGTTGATGTATCGCCCAGCCTTCTCTCCGGGGAACATCTTTACGTTGTTCAGCTGGTTGAGAAGGCGACTAAGTGTCACCAAATCCGTTGCCATGTGGCAGGTGTGTAGGTGCTCCCAGGATTGCTGCGCGGGCGCCCACTCGTTTTTTAAGGGGCGAATGCTTAGTTGTTCTTCGGGCGACAGGTTCCGGATCAAGACCGTGAAGGCCAACAGCGACTCTTTGTAGTATTTTGTCTTCTCTTGAGGTGAGCCGTTGATCGGGAATGCACATGATCCGTCGTAATACATCCAGATCTGTGCGCCTTGAGCCAGGAGTTCAAATTCGAAACTCCAGGTGTAGAAATCCTTCCCTCGAAGGGCTTGTTTGTCCTTAGCTTTGATGTTGAGAGGAACTTGTTCTGCATTGACGCCATTGTTTCGTAATGCGTCTGTTGTGCTTGTGCAGATCCTTGAGCTCCGTGATTGTCGAAGGTGAAGGATCGCTCGGACTAGGCTCCTTGTGGATCGGGAGGTCTCCGGGCGTAGCTAGAGCCGTTGATGCTCATTGGTTGATGGCTCTCCAGAGCGCTGATGCGGGAAATGAGTTGCTCGAGGAGCGCCGAATCCGCAGTTGTCGTTCCGAAGGCGACATTGGTGGAAGGGAGTACTGCGTTTTCTCAGGTCTCACCGCAATCTGCGCCTAGCATGATGCTTGCCCTTGATGTAAGAATAATTTATAATAAAGATTGTCTTGAATGAAGACTTAGCTGTTCCTATAATCCAAACTAGCTCTCATACCATGTTAGAGTAAGGATCTTGGATACGATAGGATTGCCTTAGAGAGATTTGGTAGTGGAAGTCTTGTGGTAGGAACCTTGTGCATAGTGAATGTAAATGATAAGATTTATTAAAGGATAAAATTACACACAATAAGTAGATCTAACTAGCCATGTACTCTGAGGGGTACATTCCCTTATTCTAACCATTTAACAGGCACTTCTATAGTGACTCTGACCATTGCTCTTCTTCTTGTTATCGAGTCGCTGCGTGTAACCGTATGGATGGTTATGCCTGTTGCCATTCCTTGCTGGTGAGTCATTCGGTCCAAATGGTCAACAGTCACGACAGTTGACCTTAGGCGACTTTTGACCTTCCTGCCCTTGTTATGGGCTGATCCGATACCGCTGCTGGTGCTGCTTCAATAGTGACGGGTGCGATACAGATGCACCTACCGGAATGCTAAAGTCGATTCCTTTCTTACTCCAACAGCGTGGTTAGCTTTGCCTTGCTTACGTGGCCTCACAGGCCTACACTGCTGATATCTTCACCAAGGCCCTAGCTTCTGGTGATCATCAGCGTTTCTGCACTGCTCTAGGCCTTGTGCCTTCTCTGTCTCACTTGCTTATCTCTTGATTTTACCTTGTACTGTGATCTATATATGTACCTGCTTGCTTACGCTTGCTAGGTTGTGATCACTGTACTGCTTGTGCTGTAATAACTCTGCATGTGAACTGGCCTTGTTGCTGCTTGCTTGCGCTCGGACTGTGTGGTGATCTGAGATCCACCCTAAGCTTTGCTTTATTTCTTCTCGACTGGTCTTGTGACCATTTGTTGTTCGCCTATGGGGATGTGTCAAATAAGATACAATTATTAGTTGTAGGCTGTAGTGGGGTAGCCATATGGGGTACAACCCTTTTAGGGTTAGGACTTGTTTCACACTTGTTTCATAGTTGATCATTCCTACTGCTCATTTCGACAAGGCGGTCAGCACGGCACTTCTTCTCCACATCCTCCAAAGGTAGAAACAGGCTCTACTAGCGGTTTGGGTGCCTTGAGGGACCTCGATGTGTGCTCAAACAGCGAGACATCGTCCTTGGGGACGCTCTGCAGGTACAGGTGCAGGTCCTCTAGCCGGGACTCGAACTCGATTGGGCGCCCCTCTGCATCGAACGTTAGGACATTGATAGTCGCCATGGCCGAAATCATATCAGGCTGCAGCACTAGGAACTAGCCGCATATCTAGGCACGAGCGGCGGCTCGGGGTGCAGAGGGAGAACAGTCAGCACGGCAGTAGGTGAGCGGCTCAGCAGCAGGCAGAGCGACACCGTAGTGCGATGCGGCTCCGCAGCAGCGAGGCACGGCAGCTCGGCAGGGCGGCGCGGTGTGGCAGGAGGCAGGGCGGCGCTGCGGCGGGCAGCGCGGCTGCAGGCGGCACAGCAGTGGGCGGCCAGCTGGCTGCAGAGGGGTGGCGGCGAGCGGCAGCACGGGGTGGCGCACGGGCGGCAGCGGGCCAGCAGCGGGCCAGTGCGGGCAGCGGAGCAGGCGGCAGCGCTCGGGGTAGCGTGGGGTAGTGCGTGCAGGGCAGTGCGGCAGTGCAGAGCAGCGCGCGTGGGGCAGCGCGGGGGAGGGGGGGGGGGGGGGGGTGGGGGGGGGGGGGGGGGGGGGGGGGGGGGGGGCGGGGGGGGGGGGGGGGGGGGGGGGAGGGAGGGGAGGAGCGCGGGGCAGCGTGTGCGGGCCAGTGCAGGGCAGCATGCGGGAGGCAGCGCAGTGCAGCACGCGCGGGGCAGAGCGGCAGTGGGGGGCAGCGCGACAGCAGCGGTACAGCAGTGGCAGTAGCATGACAGTAGGGCAGTGCGCGCGCAGAGGCAGCAGCGCAGTCAGATCGAACCTACTCAGATACCATGTTAAAGTGTGGAACAGCGGAATGAATGAACGGAGTGAGGGAATTGAAGACAGGGGGTGTCTTTAAAACGGGTATATATTATAAATGGGTGTTCCTGATTATAAGACACATGTCGGTGTATACGAGTTAAGCCAGTGTAGGGGTTAGGGGTTATCTTCTAAACGGTTCTTTGTCCATTTATAAGAACTATATGTCAGAGGTCCACTGGTGATCCCCGATTGATCCTAGGGAAGGGTTACAGGCTCGTTGTCCTGGGGGGTTATGGGCGCACTGACCCGCTACTTAACAAGCCCTTTTATCCTAATGGTCTAGTGGTTGGGATTCTGACATGGTGTCAGAGCGAAGGTCTCGGGTTCGAATCCCAGTGTGTGCACTTCGGGCATCCCAGTGCGGGGGGGTGTCAGAGGTCCATTGGTGATCCCCGATTGATCCTAGGGAAGGGTTACAGGCTCGTTGTCCTGGGGGGTTATGGGCGCACTGACCCGCTACTTAACAAGCCTTTTTATCCCAATGGTCTAGTGGTTGGGATTCTGACACTATAAGACACCCTAAACCACCCCAATTACAAGATAACCCAAGCATTTTTCCTAGTGTATAAGATAAGACATATATGTCTTATATCCGGGCGATGACGGTAGCAAAGGGTTGGGTACATATGGGAAACCATAAGTGGGTTGTATCCTCTAGAGCATGCCTCACTTCAGCCTATCAACAAACATAACATTTGACAGACGTGACCAATCACTTGGAATTTCTAAGCAGGAGCTGGTTGCCCTGTCGTCAGCCGAAGCAGAATTCATCGCCGCTATCGCAACTGTTTGCGAAGGCCCTCGTGGTGTTGTAAAAAGTTCCGACTAAGTCCCTCATGGGATTGTAACAACTTGTAGCACATACTTGTATCATACAAACGCCTATAGTAATTTATATTTGTAGTGGTTGACAATTACCACTAGCACAAGGAACGCCTTTATTGTACGCGTTTCGTTATTTGTCATTCCGTTCTCATAGCTAACACTGCGATGACGATTTCCGCAGACGTGATCACACCGCCATCTCCATGACCAGCCGCCCTTGGTGGTGATGAGTGACGTCAGCAGGTGGCAATCGGCGGTAGCGACAGGCAAACCTGGTCGTCGGGCGCCTGGCAGCGCGCCTGCTGTCGCCGCTGCGCCCCCCTTCGATCTGCCCTCTTCCGCCACTCCTCCGATCGCCTCCTTGCGCCCAGTACCGCCGCAGGTCCCTCTCGCCCCGCGCGCTCCCCACCATCCCGCCGCAGATAAGCCGCTGGCTTCCGCTCATCCCACGCGCTCCCTGTCATCGTCGCAGCCGCACAGCAAAGCCCGCCGTCTGCCCTTCCGCTTCCCCGCGCGCGCCGTGTCCCCCAAGGCGCGCGCGCTCTGCCACTACGCCGCGCTCACCGTCGCCGCGGCCCTCTTTCTCGTCGTGTGGATCGCCTTTCAGCCCGACGCGCCCCCCCTGCCCGACCGCCGTGACCCCAATGGGAGGGCCGTCCCCCACCGCTCACATGAAGCGCTACGAGGCTGCCCGGTGTGCGGCCGCGGCGAGGTCAAGCTGCCGCCGTTGGTGCGCCCGCTGTCCGCGCGCGGCGCCAAGGTGCGCCTCTGCATGGGCAGCGCCGCCGCGCCGTTCGCGCAGGGCACATTCGTGAGCCCCGAGGAGGCGCGCGACGGGGCGAGCTTCGGCAGCCGGTTCGCGCAGCTGACGGTGTTCGAGGCGGAGGCGCTGCACGAGGCGGCGGAGGGCGCGGGGGAGGCGCGCGGAGGCGGCGGGAAGGCGGGGCGGCAGGGGCAGCGGGGAGCGGCGGCGGTGACGACGTGGGTGCGGCTGCTGGCGTTTCTGGAGGACTCGGAGTCGATCCGCAAGACGCAGTGGGAGGGGTGGGGCGCGGCGGAGCTGAGCGACGTGTACTGGCGGGGCGCGCTGGCCGTGAAGTGCCTGGTGTGGCCGGGGCACGACCCCGCCCTGCACAGCGTGGCGCCCGCCCTCGTGGTGGACGCCATCGTGCGCCACCGCCACCCCTGGCACATCGCCCTCGAATGCCCCCTCCCGCCCTTCCCCTCCCCCTCCCCCTCCCCCTCCTCCTCGTCCCCCTCGGACCCCTCGGCGGACCCCTCGGCGGACGATGCAGTGCCGGTGCGAGTGAGGGTGAGCAGGAGGGAGGCGAGGCGGCACTACGTGCAGTACGGGCAGCGCCTGCAGGTGCAGCTGGTGGCGGCCCTCAACGGCTCCGACCTGCGCATGCCCCCGCTGCTGCTCTGCCGCGCTGACAGCGACGACACTGACAGTAGCAGCGGCGACGGTGGTGGCAGTGACAGCCTCATCCACCCGGGCAGCCGCGCCCCGCCGTTCCCCTTCGCTGCCGTGGAGAAGGAGGTGACCGCCGTGGCTAATGCAGGCTCGGGAGGAGGCTCGGAACTGGCGAGGCTGATGGGGGGAGATGGGGGAGGAGGAGTGGGCGGGAAAGGGAGGATGAAAGGAGCGGGGCGAGGGGAGGGCGTGGGGGCGGGAGGAGGGGAGAGGGGCAGCGCGGAGGAGATGCTGGTGGACTATGGGGAGGAGGCCGCCACGCACGAGCAGAGGGGCAGCGGCGCCGCAAAGGCCAGCAGCGGCAGCAGTGGGGTTGGCAGGAGGAGGCCCATGGGAGCGGTGGCGATCTGCCTGCGCCCCTTCCACACGCGGCAGCTCTTCTCTCTGGACGTTGCCATCTCACACGCGCGCCTGCTGGAGTGGATCGATGCGGCACTGCTGATGGGCGTGGAGCGCATCTACGTGTACGACCGCCACGCCACCGCCATGGCTGCCCTGCTGGCGCCCTACAGCCAGCGCGGGCAGGTGCAGCACGTGCCCTTCCCCCCCTGGAGCGAGGTCTTCTACCGCCACGCACTCTATTCTGGCAAGGCCCGCGTGCCGTACCTGGTAAGTGCCGTACCTGGCGAGTGCCGTACCTGGTGAGTGCCGTACCTGGTGAGTGCTGTACCTGGCGAGTGCCGTACCTGGTGAGTGCCGTACCTGGTGAGTGCTGTACCTGGTGAGGCTTTCTCTCAACTCATTGCTAACCTCACAGCACTCTGTCCCGCCTGCCAAATCTGCCTCCCACACCAACTGGTACCAATGCCAGGCTTCGATATTCTCCCTTGCCTCTTGCTTAGCCATGCCTCTCTCGCCCCCATGCCTCTCTCTCTCCCATGCCCCCTGACGCTCACCCTTTTCCCTCTGTTGCACGCCTCTCCTTCTCGCCCCTCCCTTCCCCCCCTGCGCGGCCAGTTCCCGGAGATCTACGATCAGATCATCTCATACGAGCACTGCCTCATGCAGGGCCGGCGGCTGGGAGACAGGTGGCAGCTGCACATAGACAGTGACGAGTTCGTGTGGTACGAGCCGCGCACGGGGGGCTTCCTCAAGCCGCTGCTCGCCCGCCTTGAGCTCAACCACACGCGCTCTCGTCCTCGCGGAAGTAAAGAGCCCCTCAGGGTGAGCCCAGCAGCGTGGCACCGTCTTAAGGCCATCTTCCTCTCTCCACTCAAATCAAACCCCTGCGTTCAATGTGCTGTATTGCCTTGAAGGACCGTGCTGTGTTGCCTGGGAGTGCATTACTCGGCTCACTCGTCTCCTCCCTCCCCAACCCCCCATGCACCCGCAGGTGATTCAGCTGCGCCGCTTCAACTTCTGGGGTGTGGAGGCGGAGTCGCGCCGCGAGCCCGTGTTGGACCGCCTCACATGGCGATGTGCACAGCCCATGTGGCACACGGAGGGGTGGGCGGGCTGGCATGACAAGCTGGCCGTCAACCCACAAACCATCCTGCCCTAGTGAGTGCCGCCCAAGTTGAGTGCCGCCCAAGTTGAGTGCCGCCCAAGTTGAGTGCCGCCCGAGTTGAGTGTTGCTGCAGTGAGCGTTGCCTTTCCCACGACTCCTCTCTGCCGTCAACCCTATGGTGCAAGTCTAATCGTTTCTTTCATCTTGACCATCTCACTCATCTCAGCCAGTGATAATCTCAACCAGGATGCACACCCAAGCAAGGTGCCAGCCTGATCCACCACTCTTCACTGCACCACATCCTATGTTCCCTTGCATCCTTCTCTCGTCACTCTCCTCCCATTTCTTCTCCCTCCACATTTTCCTTCAACACGTCCTCCCCCGCGTTCCCGCCACCCCTCCCCCCTTCCACTCGCCCCGCCATCAGCTCAGTGGCGATCCACACCACCACGGCGCCCCCGGAGTCGGTGGCAACGGCCCCGAGGGACGTGCTGCACCTCAACCACTTCACAGCCATGGCCATCGACCTGGCGCAGCACCCCTGCCGCTCCTGGGTCAAGCCCGTGCTGGACCGCGGCCTCACCTGGGTCACCCCGCGCGCCCTCAAGTGCCGCGCGCTGCCCTGCCGCCGCTCCACGCCCCTCGAGTGCTGGCCCTTCTGCATCCTGCCGTGGCAGGGGGAGGACGACGGCAGGGGGCATCGTGCTGGTGGGGGTGGAGGGGCAAGGGTGGCTAAAACGGAGAGTGTGGAGAGTGGGGAGGGAGAGAAGAGTAATGAGTCTGTCGAAGATACGATGTAACAGAGTATGGCGTAGCCTAGTACTTGCATGTGATCAGGCCTTTTGAGTTGCCATAAGCCTCGTTATGCCGCATGGCCTTTCATCAGCTGCGGTGCAGCTCAGTGCCCGAAGACTCACGAGAGAAATCAACGCGGACGCACTACAAGCGATAAGCACATACAATGGGTTCCTTAGTACCGGTATTGCATTGAGTCCACACATACAGAAAAAGCATAACAAGAGCAGAGCTGTACAAGGAGGGGCGGGGCTGGCATGCGCTGCTAGTGGCGCAAGCGGAGGTAGATGACGGCAGCGATGGCGAGCAGCAGGATGGAGAGGATGAGCGCGGTGATCCACTTGTTGCGGTGCAGCTTGTGCGCCATGCCCGCCAGCACCCTCCGCGCTCGACTCATCTGGTGGTCCACGTCCTCCAGCTGGGCACCACAGGCACGGCACAGGGGAATGCTCTTGCCGGCACAGCGAGGTGCAGTGAGAGAGGTGCGAGCAGTGAGAGAGGTGCGAGCAGTGACAGAGGTGCGAGCAGCGAGAGAGGTGCGAGCAGTGAGAGAGGTGCGAGCAGTGACAGAGGTGCGAGCAGTGAGAGAGGTGCGAGCAGTGAGAGAGGTGCGAGCAGTGAGAGAGGTGCAAGCAGTGAGAGAGGTGCGTGCAGTGAGAGAGGTGTGTGCAGTGAGAGAGGTGTGTGCAGTGAGAGAGGTGTGTGCAGTGAGAGAGGTGTGTGCAGTGAGTGAGTGTGGTGCGTGAAGTGAAGTCTTCACTCACTTACATGTCATCATCATCATGCACAATGCAAGCGCCCTCCTCTTCAAACTCACCAAAGTCTCTCCTCTCCCCATCCCCCCTCCCTCGCCCCCCTCACCGTGTCGCCGGCGCGCAGCAGGGACTGGCGCTGCTGGTGCAGGTCGGCCAGGATGGCCACGCCCAGCTGCTCTGTCTGCGCCATGCTGCGCCGGCTCTCCGCCACGCGCTGAGACGACTCCTCCACCCGCGCCGTCACCTGCAGCAGCCGCGCCCGCTGGTCCGCCGCACCCTGGGGAGAGGGGGGGAGGGGTGGAGGTGGAGGGGAGGGCCGCAAGATGGATGGACGTGTGCGTCTGCCTGAAAAGAAGGGGGCACACACCTATAGAGGCACGCACCGACAGAGGCACGCACCGACAGAGGCACGCACCGGCAGAGCCACGCACCGACAGAGGCACGCACCGATAGATAGAGGCACGCACCGATAGATAGAGGCACGCACCGATAGATAGAGGCACGCACCGATAGATAGAGGCACGCACCGATAAAGGCACATATTCCCTTCCATCTTCCAGCAGCGCTGCTCTCTCCTCCTCCGCTCTCCCCACCTCTCGGGCCCCCGCTTGCCTGCCTCCTTGCCCCCCTCCTTGACCGCCCGTCACGACTCCCCCCTCCCCCGCCGAGTCCGCGGCGCGCTTCTTGGCGGCGAGTAGCGCTAGCTTGTGCGCGCGCAGGCGCGCCAGCAGATGCGCGCGGTCAGCGGGGGGGAGCGACCGCGCCTCGAGATCCATCTGGCGAATCTGGGGGAGGGGCGAGCGAGGCGAGGGGAGCCGGGGGGGCGAAGAAGGAATATGTGCGGCGGGGGGGAGAGCAACGCTGCGGGGAGGAGAGCAACGCGGCGGGGAGGAGAGCAACGCGGCGGGGACTGCAGAGCGGAGCGACGAACGAGGTGGCGGAGAGAAGAGAGAGCGTGGGTGAGACCCGAAGAGGGTGCAGGGGGGAGCGGAGGCGACGTACGAGTGATTCCGCGTCGTCGATGCGCCGCTGCGACTCGTGCAGCCGCCCGCTGGACGCACCTGCACGGCCACGACGCGACGAGTGAGACGCGCGACGCGATGAGTGGGACGAGGGACGCGATGAGTGAGACGAGGGACGCGATGAGTGGGACGGGGGACGCGATGAAACCGATGAGGGGCGACGAGCGAAACCCAGGGTGAAGGGAACCATGCAGGGCGGAGGAGCGCAAATGAGAGACGAGCGTTCGCGGCCTATGCTTACGTGCGATTCGCCTACCGTCTGACAGAGCGTCGACGATGTCGTTGAACTGCCGCTCGTACGCCTCGAAGGTCGCCATGCGCGCCACACAGACGATCACAGCCGCCGCGAGGGAGACGATGCGCTGCTGGAGTGCGCAGCGACGTATACTGCGGACCGGGGTTTGCGGAAAGATAAGAAAATAAACTGGACTAATCGGAGGAAGATGGTTGAGCCAAACTCTACTTCGCGCCTGTCCTACCTCCTCAGCACAACTCCAGCGAGCTGTTCAGTTCGGCCGAACAGTCACTGTTATGAGTTGTTATGAAAACAGTGAGCAGGATTTAATTGTTAGGCCCCTTGGCCTAAATCCGCTAAAGATTAGCGGGGTCGACTAAGTCTAGGATGAAACACGGCGGAAGACTTTGGCGAAGAATGTATTAGCGAAATATGAGAAGAAGTACCATAACTGAGTTAAGATTGAATGAGAATTGGTTGATATTGGAGAATACAAGCAAGGTTGATATAGCAAGGAATGTCAAATGTCGGAAACTAGTTTGTGGGACTAGGAATTGAAGGCAAGAAAAGAAGAGTGCCACGTGGCACAAGGAAATCCGAGAAGATACGATGAGGATGGGTTGGGAAGTACTTTAAAGGTGAATAGTAAAACCCCCTCTAATACTGAACAGTAAAACCCCCTCTAACACTGAACAGTAAAACCCCCTCTAACACTACCCCCCTCCCAAAGAGGCGACGTCCGCGGCGCCTGCAGACTGAAGGTACGCTTGGAGGCAAGCGTTGTTGGGAGCAGGGCTGACGTTTCAAATTCAGGTACCCTGAGTTCAACCTAAAAAAAAAAAAATTACCCTGAAGGCACATTTTCCAGAAAAACAGCACCCTGATTGCTCAGGGTTGAGAAGTAGTGAACTCTGAATGTTCAGGGTCGAGAATTGAAAATCAGGGTCGTAGTAACGCGCTCTTTCTTTACCGAGGACAGAAGTCTCACTCAATCAGAAGTCACATTCTGGCAATGTGACTGGCACTGTGGCGATGTGACTGGTCACCGGCGCTGTGTTAGAGCACATCTATTTCGACCAATAACAGCAACCTAAAATCTGACATTACAGATTCGCCCGATCTAGATGGTGGGTGTATGGGAACAAAACTTCGAAGAAACTTCGTCTCGATAAAGCGAGGGGGGGGGGGGGGAGGTTACGCACGTGGGGGGCACTGAAATCAATGCGAAGGGGTTATCAGGAGGAATTTTCCGAGAAACTTCGCCCTGATAACATCGCATTCAGGGTCCACAGGCCTCGTACTCTGTATTGACAGGGTCCGTGAAAACCCTACACTGAGAGTGTACACAAAATTTCAGGGTCCGCTAAAGCAATACTCTGAATGGATCAGGGACCAAAATGTGAAAAACCTGATTTCTCAGGGTCCAGAAAGTGACAAGTCTGAAATCACCCTGAAATCAGGGTAATTACCCTGATAAAATCAGCCCTGGTTGGGAGATAACGAAGACAAAAGAACCCAGCCGTCGTCAGCTACATCGTAACCACGCCAACGAACCAAGAAGTCGATGAAAGAGACACCCCCTTGGAGACGTCGACGGTGCCTGAGGATGCGCTGGATCTGGTAGTCGAGCTCGTCGGTATCAACAGCTACCGGCAATGGATTGCTATTACGGCCCGAGAAGGTGGCATTGGGATCGGTGTATGGGCGGAGAAGCGACACGTGAAGTGATGGGTGCATGCGGAAATGAGCGGGAAGGCGGAGACGGTATGCGACAGGACCTAGTGCGCGCTCAATGACGAATGGACCAATGAAACGAGGGCGAGGCGTGCTGTCATGTGGCACTCGGAGGTTGCGGCTATCCAAAAGGACACAGTCACCTCACGACGACTGCAGTTGGTGGTGCGTGCCATGCGTGCATTTGCGAGCTCAAGGTGCTTCCTCACGTGATCATGAATGAAAGTGAGATGCTGATGAAAGTTGTCCGCACGAGGGATTGTGGGTGTGAGATCGACACGAGTGGGGACATTGGGGTGCTGACCGTACAGTGCGAAAAACGGTAACCTGCCTGTGGACGAGTGATGCGAGTTGTTGCGGGCGAACTCGGCCATGCTCAGCTTCTTGTCCCATGCGGCTGCGTCGTTTGTGATGCTGCGAAGGATCTGCTCCAAGGTCTGGTTCACACGCTCGGCCTGTCCGTTTGTCTCTGGATGGTACGCAGACGACATAGCTAAGTGAGTCCCAAACAGTGCGAAAAGATGCTTCCATAACTTCGAAGTGAAACAAGGGTCGCGGTCTGAGATGATGGAATTTGGAACTCCGTGTGGTCCGACTACGTTATCTACGAACACTGTCGCGGCTTCCTCTGCTGTAACCTTGCCGTGCGTGGGGATGAAGTGCGCTGCTCGAGAAAACTTATCCACTACCACGAAGATGGCGTCGTGACCCCAAACTGTGCGTGATAAAGCCATGATGAATTCCATGGCAACTACCTGCCAAGGACAACCAGGTGGTGGAATCGGCTGCTGAAGTCCAGCTTTGCGCTGGTGAGAGGACTTCGTACGCTGACACGTGTCGCACGAGCGAATGTAATCCTCTACGTCTTCTACAAGCACTGGCCAAAAGTACGTGCGACTAAGCGTCTTAGCCGTCTTATCCGCTCCAAAGTGACCTGCACTACCTACGTCGTGTGCCTCGCAAAGAAGGAGCTGTCGAAGAGGGCGGTAGGCGGGAACCCAAATCCGTGTGGTACCCTTCCGAATGTAGACACTACCCTGCACCTCTGCTCCTGCCGGCGGCTGTGGTGTGAAGTCAAGATGTATCCGTGCTTGAAGAGTGCTGTGAGAAGTGAATGGCCAGTAGTGACTGTAAGGCTAGCGAGCAGGCAACTAGGGCGAGTGAGCGGATCTGCTGGGTTGCGCACGCTTGGCTTGTACTCTAACCTATAGTGAAAGCTCCCCTCCATGAATTCCATCCATCTAGCCTGGCGGCGACTCAGCTGCGGCTACGACTTGAGAAAGCGAAGCCAGCAATGGTCCATGCGTATAACACTATCTGCCCCCTCAAAGTAGCACCTCCACACCTTATACGCATGGATGATAGCGAGCGCCTCCTTGTCGTAAATGGGATAATTCATCTAGGCTCCCCTCAGCTTATGCGACTCGTACGCGATCGGCTGCAACCCGCGGCCCTGGTCCTGAAGAAGTACTACTCCTATGGCATGGTCTGAAGCGTCGGTCACTACAACGTACGAGCGAGTGGGATCGGGGTACGACAGTGTCGGTGAAGACGTGAGCAACTGCTTCATCTGCTCGAACGCCTGCTGCTGCGCTGGACCCCAAAGAAACTCTACGCCCTTCTGAAGTAGGTCGGTGAGTGGACTAGCGATCGATGCGTAACCCTGAACGAAACGACGGTAGTAGTTTGCGAATCCGAGAAAGCTCTGCAGTTCCTTGACTGAGTTCGGAGCTACCCAATCCTGTACTGCTGCGTGTGAAGTAATAGGAATGAATGATTGACTAAGAAAATGAGTTGGGTACAAATATGAAACCCTAGAAAACTGTACCCCATAGTGTCTACCCCACTACATCCTAGACAGGCTATGTGATTAATGTTTGACACACCCCCATAGGCAAAGTGGGGGAGAACAAGGGGTCACAAGACCAGTCAAGCAAAGCAAAGCAAAGCAAGCTCAGGGTGGATCACAACGTCACCACACATTCCGAGCACAGGTTCAAAGGCCACAAGGCCAGTTCACATGCAAGATTATATATAAAAGGTAAACAAGCAAGTGCAGGTATATATAGATCACAGTACAGGTAAAGTCAAGAGGTAAGCAAGTGAGGCAAAGTAGGCACAAGACCTAGCATAGTACAAAAGCGCTGATGATCACAAGGCGGAAGTGCCTTGGTGAAGATATCAGCAGTGTTGGCCTGGGAGGCCACGTAAGCAAGACGCAGCTGACCACGCTGCTGCAGCTCACGAGCAAGGAAGTAGCGAAGAGCAATGTGCTTCGTTCTGTGCTCCAGTCTGTGCTCCCGACACAAGGCCAGCATGGCCTTGTTGTCTACGTACAGAACCGGAGGAGAACGAGGCTGCTCACCAAGGTCAGTCAGCAGGTAGGTGAGTCAGCGTAACTCATGTGCAGCCATGGCCCCTGCGTAGATCTCAGCCTCACAGCTGGAGCTGAGAACAGAAGACGAGCGAGTAGACCGCCACGAAACAGAGCCGGAACCAAGGCTGAAGGTGTAACCCTGTGACGACTGCTGCGTAGCCAGGTCGTCAACCCAAGACGCGTCTGCGTGACCAGTGAGGACCACTGGACTCCGCCCTCCAAGCACTAGCCCCATGCCCGAAGTACTGCACAAGTAGCGCAACACCCTCTTCGCTGCAGCCATGTGCTCTGGTCGGTGTCTCCCAGGAGCAACATAGCGTGCCAAGATGCTAAGAGGGTATGCCAGGTCAGGTCGAGTGCAGGTCATCAGGTACATGAGGCAGCCAACAAGCTCTGGGTACGGGCCACTTGGCTCTACGAACTCATCCGAAGGCAGAGCTGAGAGCGAGTGGCGAGTAGACAGAGGAGTGGCCTGAGGCGAGGAGTACGTGAAGTCGAAGCGCTGAAGGACCTGCTGCACCATGTGTGACTGAGTCAGGGTAATGGTGCGCCGTGCTCTGTCCCGAGTGATCTGCAAGCCAAGATAGCTGCGCAGTTCACCCAGGTCTGTGCACGTGTGTCTCTTCTGCAGCTCGGACTTCACGTGGGCGAGTCCAGCAGTGTCAGCCGTAGCAAACACCAAGTCGTCAACGTACACGAGGATGTAGAACGGCGGCAGCAAAAGGAAAGTGTCAGTGCGAAGAAACAGCGACGGATCAGCAGTGGAAGGAGCAAACCCAAGAGCCGCAAGCGTAGTCCTCAGTGTGTCGTGCCACTCACGGGGTGCCTGGCGGAGACCGTAGACTGGCCGCCGGAGGCTCCACTAGGTACCAGGAGGAAACAACCCAGTGAAGCCAGGTGGGCGGCGCAGCCAGATCTCCTCGTGCAGGCTGCCCTGTAGGAAGGCAGTGCTGAAGTCAAGGGAGTGAAGC